TTTGAGGTCACTGGATTCAACCCTCATGTCAGATTGGACAAATTGACCGTTGACAGCTGTCAATTGACTGTCAACGAGGAATATAAAAGTGAATATCCCCTTTTCACATTGAGAGTTTGTGTTTTTGAGGTCGCTGAATTCAATTCTCATGTCAAATTGGACAAATTGACCGTTGACAGCTGTCAATTCACTGTCAACGAAGAATAGAGAAGTAAATAATAATAATAATAATAATAATAATAATAATAATAATAATAATAATAATAATAATAATAATAATAATAATAATAATAATAATAATAATAATAATAATAATAATAATAATAATAATAATAATAATAATAATAATAATAATAATAATAATAATAATAATAATAATAATAATAATAATAATAATAATAATAATAATAATAATAATAATAATAATAATAATAATAATAATAATAATAATAATAATAATAATAATAATAATAATAATAATAATAATAATAATAATAATAATAATAATAATAATAATAATAATAATAATAATAATAATAATAATAATAATAATAATAATAATAATAATAATAATAATAATAATAATAATAATAATAATAATAATAATAATAATAATAATAATAATAATAATAATAATAATAATAATAATAATAATAATAATAATAATAATAATAATAATAATAAATAATAATAATAATAATAATAATAATAATAATAATAATAATAATAATAATAATAATAATAATAATAATAATAATAATAATAATAATAATAATAATAATAATAATAATAATAATAATAATAATAATAATAATAATAATAATAATAATAATAATAATAATAATAATAATAATAATAATAATAATAATAATAATAATAATATTAACAGTGCTGTTCCTAAAGTGGCGCTGGGAAACAGTAACAAAGCCTACACAGAACACGAGGCTAATGGCCGTAGTAGTCGACGCCGATGACACCAAATTAAAAAAAAAAAAAAAAAAAAAATAATAATAATAATAATAATAATAATAATATTAATAATAATAATAATAATAATAATAATAATAATAATAATAATAATAATAATAATAATAATAATAATAATAATAATAATAATAATAATAATAATAATAATAATAATAATAATAATAATAATAATAATAATAATAATAATAATAATAATAATAATAATAATAATAATAATAATAATAATAATAATAATAATAATAATAATAATAATAATAATAATAATAATAATAATAATAATAATAATAATAATAATAATAATAATAATAATAATAATAATAATAATAATAATAATAATAATAATAATAATAATAATAATAATAATAATAATAATAATAATAATAATAATAATAATAATAATAATAATAATAATAATAATAATAATAATAATAATAATAATAATAATAATAATAATAATAATAATAATAATAATAATAATAATAATAATAATAATAATAATAATAATAATAATAATAATAATAATAATAATAATAATAATAATAATAATAATAATAATAATAATAATAATAATAATAATAATAATAATAATAATAATAATAATAATAATAATAATAATAATAATAATAATAATAATAATAATAATAATAATAATAATAATAATAATAATAATAATAATAATAATAATAATAATAATAATAATAATAATAATAATAATAATAATAATAATAATAATAATAATAATAATAATAATAATAATAATAATAATAATAATAATAATAATAATAATAATAATAATAATAATAATAATAATAATAATAATAATAATAATAATAATAATAATAATAATAATAATAATAATAATAATAATAATAATATTAATAATAATAATAATAATAATAATAATAATAATAATAATAATAAATCGTCTTTATTATTTTCAAATACACAGTAAACCATTATAAATTACAATAATTATAATAATTATATTCTTTGGCGTAAAATGCGTAAATGAAAATAAAGGGCGAAGTTTATTTTTATTGTCGAGTAGACAATAAAAATATTCTTCCACTTAACCCTAGATAAACCTGTATTTTTTGTAAGTACCTAAAATTACCCAAAATACAATCAATAAAAATTATAAGAAATATATATTATTTATATGAAAATATAAAAATATGTGCAAAAGTTTAACCTAACAATCTAACCAAAGAAATAATAGGTACAAAAGTTTAAATTTGAATTGAATCTATTTAATTTTACAAGACTAATGTTGAGATGCTAAGAGATAGTTTTTATACATCGTTTTAAATCTGGAAACACTTTGGAGTTTAAAATTGGTTGCAACCGTATTGTAAAGATAGCAAATGTTGTAACTAAATGATCGCCTGAATAATTCAGTTCTAAAAGAAGGAACAGTCAGTAATCCTCTATTCCTTATATTTATATTATGAATATCGGTACGGTAAGTAATTTTACGATAAAGATATGGGGGTTTTTTGTTACAAATAATCTTATGATATAGTGACGTAGCGTGAAGTATTCGTCTATTCTGCATATTTAACCAGCCTATTTCAAGTAGTTTTGGGGAAGTTCTTTGCCTTCTTCTAATGCCATAGATTAACCGTAAGCATGAATTCTGAACCTTTTGAACTTTTTGTTTGTAATATGCCGTTAAATTAGGACCGTATAAGGAATCCGCATAATTAAATAAAGATGACACTAGGCTTTCGCATTTTCTGAGACATTGAAAGTTTGGGTTCTTGAGGTCGCTGAATTCAATTCTCATGCCAGATTGTTAAAATTGCCAGCTGTCAACTGTCAATTTGTCCAATCTGACATAAGAATTGAGTTCAGCGACCTCAAAAACCCAAACTCTCAATGTAAAAAGAGGATATTTACTTTTATATTCCTCGTTGACCGTGAATTGACAACTGTCAAAGGTCAGTTTGTCCAATCTGACATGAGGGTTGAATCCAGTGACCTCAAAAATATTACCCCATATATTAGAATAATTAAAATATGCTTTTGACATCTGTATATAGTATTGAAAATGAATAGTTTTGCAACGGGTCAGGGGAGCTTTGGCAGCTCCGTTGCTGCCAAAATATTCATTTTGGCACTTTGTGTCCATGGAGACTTTTGTTCAGGATGACAAAATCTACAACATATCAAAAATTCAGACAATTTGACAGAAACCCAATTTCCATAAGATTATTGCGGGGTCCTTTCCTAAAATGGTCCTTATTGGAAAAATTTGACAAAATGTAATAAAATTAATTTTTTATAAAAATTGTTTAAATAAAAGTTGTTTCTTATATAATTCTCTATAATTTTTATTTTATACATAATTTCTCTAACATGGACCGTATTAGAGATATTTGTGAAAATGTGTAAATTTCGAATTTTGAAGAAAACTTAAAAACAAATAAAGGAAAAACATTAAATTTTAATCTTAAGTTTAACTTCGGCCTGAGATGAAATGATTAGATTTTGGAAGAAGGCGGAACATCTGGGGGTACTTTATGGGAGGCCGTTTCTATATTTTATGGAATATATCTGTTATTTACGTTTGGAAAAGAAATTTTTTTAAATAAAAGTTACATCTAATTATTTTCTATAATTTTTGTTCTATGCAAAATTTTCCTAAAATGGTCCATATTCGAGAAATTTTACAAAATGTAAAAAATTATGATTTTTAAGAAAACTATTGATTTAAAAGATGTTTGTCTTATCGATCTCTATAATTTTTGTGTTTTTTTTACATGATTTCTCTAAAATTAACCATAATGGGAAAATTGGAGGAAAATTATAAAATTTAAATTTTTCAGAATTTTCGAGTTAGATGTATGTGGAAAATGTATATATTAAGTTAACCTCTAAATATTTACAGAGGTGCTACAATAGGTTGTACAAAATAACCGAAAAAAGCCCGTAATAGCTAGATAGGAAAGTCATGTGTTGGACACATCAGATTTTTTTTTAAATTTTGTCCCTCCCATGAACCCCAGTACAGAATATTGTATTAACTATATGTTTTAAGGGATTTACTATGAACGGATGTAATAGTTTTAAGTGTTTTACTGGTACACATTCAAATCTAGGGGCACTGTTGTTTTTTAGGCTATTTATATATCTATTGTATCATTGTCACAGGTTTTTAAAAATATTGATTATTGACTTTTCGTGTGTACAATATAATTTATTTTACAATCACGAATGGTTTCATACATTTTTTACCAATAGAGGCAAAATATTTATTACAATAGTTCGTCTTTAATTCGTAGTATTATTTTATGCTTTGATAAAAAAGAAATTCAATTATGTATTTGAAACTTTATTCAATCAGGAATTCACAGAAAAATAATTGTTTTAATATGAGAAAATTGCGAAAGCAAAATTTTTCAAACGGAAAAAATGATTTAGTACATACATCGAGATAAGACATAAAAAAACATGAAATATAATAGAATAAGGTATCCAGTGAAATTCAGTCTTTTGCCATTAGCGAAGGTATAATATTTTTGTCGGCTGTTAAAACAAAAATTTTATCAGTAGCTCATGATATGATAATGTTCTAATGTTAATTTAACTAAAAAAAAGTGAGAAGCAATACAACAACTAATATGAGAAGCAAAAACCATGAAAAATCTCATTGCCAGAGAACAGAAAAAACTATATTTTATGGCAGCCAACGTGTTAACCTACATTGAAATATTTCAACCCTTTAATTCATAATGAAATTTAATCTTCTAGATTATAAAAATACTTTTTCCAGTGAAAACTGTGACGTATAAAAGTGACATCATAAATAAAGAACATAAAGCACCTACCAAATCAAAAACCGTCATACATGGCCAATTCTTTATTTTAATAAACCAATTTAAATCTATAATTGGAATCAAACGATTACGTTGGGCCAGATACTATACACGACACTTCCTCTTTAAAAAAGTCCTAATAATAAATTTCAAAGACGTGACACATGTTCTAAATGGACTCATTTTAAGATTAACCCTGTATTAGTTCGAATTCAGAAAACCATAAAAACTATGATGTGTTTTACAAACGATATCATTATAAACATTATTCATATACAATACATTTATCTGTCTACTCAAGGTACCTTAAGAGCAACGAATGAAAGGAGGAGGAATTTGTTTGGATGATACCGCTTTACTGATGATGATCAAACATGGACCATTGTGATCAAAAGAAGAGGAAACGGAATCCACGAGAGACAGCCAATATATTTTCTTTACTCACTTTTTCGTAAGTACCTAATATATATTTTTTTTGGATGTAATTTTCTACTTTATAAATATTATTTGTTTATATTTGAAATGGAGGTTGTGTGTCTAAAAATTAAGATGGATTCTTCAGGTAACATTCACTCCAAAAACAGTTTTTAAATTTTTAGGTTAAAATATCAAAAGTAACATACTACAAATTTGCTACATTTATTGGCATTTTTTTCGTTTATTCGTTACAAAGTAGATACTTTTTTTATATGTAAAAAAAAAACTTATTTTTATTGGCTGATTAGTTTAGAAAATAAAATATAATAAAAAATGTTACAGTTATACGTTTTTTAGTTCCTAAATTTTTTTAACAGAGTTAGATATAGTTATACAGGGTGAGTCATAAGTAATGGGTTAAATTGTAACTGTAGATTCGGAAGGCAAAAATAAAAATATTTTACTTAACAAGAATGGGTATGAGATAGCTCCTTTCTGATCTACAGGCTGTTAAAGTTGGAAAAAAATATATTTTTGTTAATAAAGAAGCCATTTTGTGAGATAAAGGTTTGAAAATTGGGGTAGTTCTATTTTTTATAGAGGCAAACAAAATTATCTTATTAGATTTGAGTTATCTCGTAGATGTCGCCATACTGAAGAGAAGAAACAGCCTAAAATATTTATATTTAGAAATTTTTGTATAAAAAAGTTATACTTCTTTGATTTTTAAAATATTAACCGTTTTCTAGATATCGTATTCTCATATCTCTACGTAATCAAAAATAGTATACAGAGTATTTTAGAACATTGATCGTTCCTAAAATTAATTTTATTTAAAGATAATTTGTATTTATTTTATGAAAATATTAGATTGTAATGAAACAAAAATTAGGAAACAATAATACAAAATTATTTATTTATTTTAACGAAACGTATGCTGCTTAACATATTAATAATAACGGTAACAAATCTAGTATTTAAAAAGGAAGATTGCGATAATTATAGCATTTACTGGATAGGTACCTAAAATTTAATGTGTTAAAGCACAAGTTTGCCAAACATCTGATGTTTCTGAAACAATTTGTTGTTTTTGTTATCGAATGACTCGAGTTAATTTGATACATTAGTGAAAATACCGAGACATAATCTCTAATCAAATGAAGAAATGAGATATATGATTTGCTGTTAGGCAAAAGAAAATTTTTCTGGACATTCAGCGTCTAGAAAATATCGCGCATTATACTCAAACCGAAGGCAACCAAACCACAAGATATTTCAAAATATTTATAACCGATTGGGTGAAACAGGCTCGTTTCGCCCAAAGTACAATAATAACCCACAGCAGGAAGATAAAATTTTGGTAAGCGTAGCAGAAAATCGTGAAGTAAGCACTCGTCGATTATCTGCAACTACCGGAATGAGCCAATCATCCGTGATTATTTGCACAAGGACAATTTGTACCCATATCATTTTACACCTGTGCAAAATTTGCTTCAAAGAGATTATCCTGCAAGAGTTGAGTTTTGTCAGTGGCTAAGGAGGAAACAGAATAATATTCGAACAATTCTGAATAAAATTCTTTTTACTGATGAAGCAACATTCACCAGACACGGAGTTTTCAATTGGCGAAATAGTCATGTCTGGGAAACTGAAAACCCTCATGTAAATAAAGAAAGACATTTCCAGTACGAATTTAAAATAAATGTCTGAGCAGTTTAATAGGAGATACATTGCTGGGTCCATTTGAATTACCTCCCAGTTTAAATGCTGAGTCATATTTAAATTTTTTAACCAATGACTTAAACGATATTCTGGTTGATCTTCCATTACAATCAAGAAGAAAAATGTGGTTCATGCAGGATGGTGCACCTCCACATTTTTCACTGGTTGTACATGATTACCTGAATCAAACTTTCCCTCACCGTTGGATTGGTCGTGGTAGTGAATTTCAATAGCCACCTCGTAGCCCCGACTTTAATCCACTGGATTTTTATGTGTGGGATTACATGAAAGCTATTTTTTATTCTCAGTCTATACATTTCAGAGACGAGTTATGGAATAGAATTGTAGATGCGGCTGATTCAATTAGAAATAATAACGCCACATTTTTTAATATCAGACGATCCTTAAGTAAACGGGTACAGAGGTGTTTACGAGTTGGTGGTGGCCATGTTAAAAATCTTTTTTAGTATTTTAAGTTGAATGTTAACAATATATGAAGATTATGTGGGATGTATGTTTTAGGTAAATTCGTTTTAGTTAAGTAATGTTGTTGTTATGGTTCTTGTTCAAGTGTTTTATAATTTTATCTCTATTTTTGGTGTAAAATACCAGAATTTGTTATATTTATTATTAGTCTATTAAGCAGCATACGTTTCGTTAAAATAAACAAATAATATTGTATTATTGCTTCCTAATTTTTGTTTCATTACAATTTAATATTTTTATAAAATAAATACAAACTATCTCAAAATAAAATTAATTTTAGGAACGACCAACGTTTTTATTCACCTTTTATATTTTTGGCTTACGTAGAGATATGAGAATACGATATTAATTATCATTTAAAGGTTTTTATGAATTGATTTCAATTAGGGGAATATTACAATTCACCACCCAGCGACCAGGTGGTGAATTACAAACTTTCAAATATATTGAAAACGGTTAATATTTTAAAGATAAAAGAAGTATAACTTTTTTATATTAAAATGATAAGCCTTTCTAAATTTAATACGTAAATTGTTAATCAATGAGAAACAAAAAATTTTAAGCTGTTTTCTTTTCTTCAATATGGCGTATGTGGCTAAATCTACGAGATAACTCAAATCTAATAACATAATCTTGTTTGCCCCTATCAAAAATAGATCAAACCCAATTTTTAAACCTGTATCTCAAAAAATGGCTTCTTTATTAACAAAAATATATACATATATATTTTTTTTTCAACTTTAACAGCCTGTAGATCAGAAAGGAGCGATCTCAGACCTATTGTTTTTATTTTTGCCTTCCGAATCTACAGTTGTAATTTGACCCATTACTTATGACTCGCCCTGTATACTACCTACATATTTAACGAATAAGAACTGTATTATTTCTTGTGCCTATTTTTTTACAAGCACACCCTTAGAAGTTTTCGTTTGCATATAAAATATTTTTTGTTAAATTTGAAAGAAATATCGGATATTTACGTCGGGCCGAAATTTAAAACTTTTGAGTGCTGATTGACAGCTGATATTTTATTAAATTTTACCATAAACTTGGTAAGTATCTATACAAGTCTCAGTAGGTAAGTGTAGTCGCTAAAATATGGCCCTGAAGATGATTTTAAAGCGCTAATAAAGTTTTTGAAAGAGCATGCAACACTCCGTTGATAAATAGTTTTTGCTATTTTCTATCAATAAAAAATTATTGATTACTTCTGATTCATTTTATTCTCTAAACTATTTATATTTTAGATATACAGTAAGTTTATTTAAAAAAGCCTATAAAAACGATGATCTCGAAGAGGATGATCTGTACGAAGTTCTGAAGCCTTTAAGGTCGTCAAAATGTGGTGATAAAACAGAAAAACTATGGCGATTGGAAATTAATAACAAATTGAAAAAATCACCTTCAATATATCGACTTATGTGGGCAAGATTTGGTTGGAGGTATCTTCTTATGGGATGTACACATCTCTGTTGGAAAATATTTAATATGTAAGTACACTTATTTGCTATCTAATAAAACTTAATTAATGATGCCAAAAGTAGGTAATTTAAAGTAAAATAACGCACCTTATCACAAAACCGAATAAATCCACCATAAATGATTTTTCTATAGTACAAAAATACTAGCTTTTATTATAAAATTTCTAACATATTTATTTATTTATTTATTTATTTGGTTTTGAACGAAAACATCTATAGAATTGCACTAAAATTTACAACTCTGGCTGGTTCACAAGTGCCATTTCGTCATAAACCTAGGCTGCACCATCGAAAATTATAATTTTGGTCTTATTTAAAATGGCATCTCAAATAAACCATCAAGAGACAATAGGGGCCGACAAAAATTGCAAAAGTTATAAACAAAAACGTAAAAAAAAGAATGGTTTGATTTTTTGAAAATGTTTCAAAAACTATTTGAGATAATTAAAATTTGAAAAAAGATCCTTAAAGAGCAGAAAATTTCCTAAAGAAAAGTCCTACCTCCCGGAACTGTACTGACAAATTTAATTTAATGGTGAAAAAACGGGTAGCGGCTGTAGCGGGCGCGTCAATAGAATTATTTTAATCGATTAAATATAAACATTAAGAAATAAAAAAAATGTTGGTACTAGCTAAACATACGAGTAAATAATAATCCGTCAATAAAAAACTGTTTTCTTATTTTTTTAATTAAGGTGGGAATTTAATTGCATTTAATTTAATTTCCAAATGAATTTGAAAAATATAAAAGATAAAGATCTAAGATTTGGTAGACATTTTTTAAATAAATCAGAGCAGTTGCTGACGCTTATATCAATAATTCAACTTTAAAAACAATAAAAATAAAAGTTTAAACAATTATAAAAAATAAAATATATTTTTTATATTTTCAAAAAATAAATTTTTTTTACGGAGATAAGCAAACAGTCTATTAAAAACCAATTACAGTTACGTTGAAACCAATTCTCAAAGTGATGTAATGACGAAGAAAATTGTATGTATATTGTATATTAACGACGCCCAAAGTTAATTTAGTTAAAAACATTAGCAAAGTTGCGATTATTTTGACAATTTTAATTTTTTTTATGTTCAGAAAATTTAAATGAAATTTTGTAGAAAAGGTTTCAGCGTAACACAGATTTAACTTAACAAGTACATATGTATTTTTTTCTTTTACAATTCATTGACAAATGTGAATACAAGACACATTGTGAACATCAGGCAAATTTGAATATAAAACTAAGAAAAACTAGAATCAAATATAAAAAAAAATACACCGAGAGCTAAATCCACACGACTTCTGATTTGAAAAGTCAACGTCTTATCCACAAACCACATTCGCTAGATGCATTTATTTGCGAGACGGTATAATAACGTTGCGAAAGCCAAAGTAGAATGATTTTAGTGGTTTGTGCAACAAGAGTTGATATGGACAATCCACTCGAGTTGTACAGTATATTTTTTTATCACCCACTAACGAAAATCGACAAATTTAATAAAATATTTTAGATTTTTAAGACAAAATAACTAATTTTAAAATAATTTATGACTTCAACTAATTTATAAAATAAAATAAACATGAAAAAAAAGATTTAATTTACTTAGTCCCCAGATCAGATTTGAACCTAGACCTCATCGCCACACTTACGATTTTAGTTTTATTACTCTTAATTAAATTAGTTTTATGTAGGTAGTTCGATTAAAATTTAAGATTTATTTGTAAATGTAGACAAAATAAAAAGAAATTTTATTATTTATCGATTTTACACAAGAATAACTCATTTTAACGTATATTTAATCTTAATAACTAAAAAATATACTGACAATTAGTTTGACAGAATTATCACTCATAAAATTTAAATTTAAATTTAAATAATATTAGCCTAGTGGCCACTGTGATTGGTGGATTTAATTTTTTTGCAGTGTTCGTACTAGGTAAAATAAATATGAAATATATTCGTTAAGTTGCACGCAATGGCATACTTTTTCGTTTTGTAGTCTTTGAGTAGATAAGCTAATACCCATGTTGGCGTAGAAAAAAATTCATATATACTTATTTTTTACAGAATCTACAGAATAAATATGTTACTACATATCAGTCTATTAAACGAATAAAACGTTATATCTATTCTATAATCTGTGTAATGTTTATCGGATCGATGGCGTAGGTGTCTAACGCGCTCGCATTCATTTTCGAGCAATTTCGTGGTTCAGAGACGGCTTTGAATCCTACAGGAGACCATGTGAATTTATTTGCATGGTTCTCTATAGGATTTGATGGATGCCGTATTAGCAGAAATTTTTGTTAATATGATATTCAGATTATAAAAATCGCCATGCGTTATCGTTGCGAAGATGGTGTAAGTACTGTAAGTCAAATGGCACCATCAGTCATCTTTAAGTCGCCCCGGAGGCGTATTGGCATTGTTTACTATGCTGCAACGCATACATATTGTTGCAACGCGGTAAACATTGACTGAATAGTCGCCTCTCTATACCCAAACAAATCTTACTGCTACTCAGCACTGGCAGGTGTTGAGACGTAGTAAATATTGTATTATGGATACGCTGCTATTCTCCAGGCATTGTTTACCACGTTCCAACTCAACATCGAGCAAAGCGCATTCAAGCTGGGAGCCCATCCAAGATGGAGATATCAAACAACCCTAAAAGACAAAGATCTTTAAAGAAAAATATTGATCTTAATTGACCAAATGCGAAAAATCACATGGAAATGCCCACTAGGATTAAACTTCGTATGCTCACCATTTTATAATAGTTTTTTTTTTAATAAATATAAATGTAATATGACCAATTGATTTTGTATTTATTGTATTCTTTGTATTTTATTTATTTTTGACGATAGTATATTATTATTATGATATTTTTATGATATAGTCACAAAAGAAAGCAAATTTGCGTGGTTTCGACTGTAATGCAGTAAACAATGCCTCGAGAATGGCAGCCGTATCCATAATATAATAGTTACTACGTCTGAACACCTGCTAGTGCTGAGTCGCAGTAACATTTGCGTATAGAGTCATTCTTTACCGCGTTGCAACAACATGTATGCGTTGTATTCGCGCCCCGGAGCGCCACTGCAAATAATAATAATAGTCGTCCCTTCCCCGGACAAGCACAGCTTTTGGAGTTAAAATTCACTCGTAATGGGGTGAATTATGGAGAGTATTATTATTATTATTAAATCCACCAAACGTTTAGTAGCCCGCCAACTCAATATTCTACACCCACACGGATATTATACATATATTCTAAGCACAGATTACATAACCTAAAAGTAGGCCATTACATTCTACTGAATGAATCTAAAATTTAATATTCATTCTAGAAAGATCGGATTACTATTATTTTTTAAAATTTTAAATAATTGTCAAACTAATTGTCACTATATTTTTTAGTTATTATAAATAAATATAATTTAAAATGTGATTTTGTGAAGAATCGATAAAAAAAAATAATAGCATTCTACAAGATATTCGCCTATATTTACAAATAAATCGTAAATTTTATTGACACTAAACTAATCTAATTATCAGTATTAAAAAAAAAGTTGTTTGTCTAGTTATTGCAAAGATAGAGTAGTGAGTTTTCATGCGAAAGGTCCAGGGTTCAAATCTTTAACCTTTAAATTAATTTTAAAATTTTTGCTCTATTCAATAAAATAACTGGTAGGGGCGATTGGAAACCTTAATTTAATAGTACAATCTGAGTACGACTCGAACAGATATCCAATTTTCCTCAAATATCTAGGCATATCTTTTATATTAAAAGCAGCAAAATCATTTGCGTAGAAAAGCCATTATCGGCTGCTTCATGATTTCCTGGTAATTTGAAAATTCTATTAAATTTGCGTTCACGTGTCTCGCTGACGACCAACAATTGGGTAATGAGAAAATTGAACTGTTGTTTGATTGGTGGTTTCCTGATTTCAGATTACTGCAAAGCCCGGCGCTTAAAAACAATTTATTTTCAAGGTTTTACTAAAATTTAAATTATTAAACTGTGATATAATTTTAAATAAATGTGCTTAGCTTAAACTAATGTTTCAACACATTTAAGAAATTGCTAAAAATAATAACATCATTTTTTAAATCGACATTTAGGTTCTATTAGTATCTAAACATGATTTTGTTTAATTGTGCCTCTTTACATTCCATTATACAAACTGGGATTAATATCTATAGGATGTTAAATTTTAGTACTGTTTTTAGTTCTATAAAGGCTGTCAGAAAATTATTTGTAAATAGTGCTACATCAGATTTATGGGCTTAAAATAAGTTGATTTAACCAAGAATTAACATCGTTATAGAAAGGACATCTAAAATTTTTTCAGACCAATGCGAAATGTTCGCCGCGAATCCGCGACAGTAAATACGCAGTGAAATAGACGAATCTAATGCCTGAACATTTCGTCGCCAAAATAAATTTTCTTTAAAATATTCCGTTAAGTAGGTATTTCTATCAATTTATGATATTGGTACACAGGTTTTTGGTATCGCAATTTATTTCAACTCAACTTTAACAACAATTATACAACTGATAACATTAACATGTAACGTCTATCATAAAACTCCAAACTGTCATCAAGATCATCCTTATATAGCTAGAACTTTCGCCGAACTGTCGTCTAGAATATTCTTGACGGGTAATGACATTTCCAGACATTACTGGAATATTCTATCTTCTTTTACTTGTACTTTTACTTATAACGACCGCACCACACTGTAGGGTGATGAGTAACATTCCACTTCTTTTTCTATCTGTATGTTTCCTATGATAGCCGCAGGCTACTCCAGGGTGCTGCGTAACATTGCTCCCTCCTCTCTAGTTATTCGCCTTGAATAACTTGATTACTGAGATCTGGTTGGAGCCAACGGGGAGGATCTGAACCATGGTATGGCGCTAACTTTTCAATGTGAACTACCTTGCGGTAGATCAGGTCGTTGATTTTCTTGAGGACGGTGTAGGGGCCTTCCCAATTCCATTGT